ACTTGACTTTGGCAGGTGACAAAATCTAGGGTGTGGAACAAAGGGGGCAGAGAGAAAGGCTGGCATATTCCCAGGGAGTGTTTATGTTACGCGGAGTGTATAGATGGGCAAAGAGTTTCAAACAACGCACTGTACTTTGTATAAAATGTCCGCTGTCTGCTGCGTGTTTTCCATAAACCAGCCCTGCGCAATGTCCTTTATTGGGCAAAGGAGACTTCACCTTCTTGCTTAGGTAAACACTGACGCTCTTGTAAAACCGCTCAGCGAGTCTCCCTGGAAGTAGGGCCCTGGCTCGGGGGGTCCCATCTGCCACTGCGTTCTAACACATATTCTAGAAGGGCAGCCATGTTCAATGTCACTGCTCATGACAGCACGTCTATGGCTGCATCCGTACCGAATCTGCACATGTCTGCTGCCAAAGTGACTTGCATCCAGATAATAATCCTACTTTTTTGGGGGGAGTCATTCTATACAAACATGTCTGACTTGGAAGGAAAGCCAACACAGAAAGCCTGACTTTACAAACACGATGATTATAATTATGGTTGGGTGGTTTTTTTTAATTCCCTTTTGAAAGCACTTCATCTAAACAAGCAGTTAAGTAGCTTCCTTAGCATATTATACCTTAGCACAGCGGTTCTCAACCTGTGGGTCGCGACCCCTTTGGGGGTCGAACGACCCTTTCACAGGGGTCGCCTAAGACCATCGGAAAACACATCTATAATTACGTATTGTTTTTGTGATTCATCACTATGCTTTCACGGTGTTCAATTTGTAACAGTGAAAATACATCCTGCATATCAGATATTTACATGACGATTCATAACAGTAGCAACATGACAGTGATGAAGTAGCCACGAAAATGATTTTATGGGTGGGGGTCACTACAACATGAGGAACTGTATGAAAGGGTCACGGCATGAGGAAGGTTGAGAACCACTGCCTCAGCATTTACATATCGGCGATCATGTTGAAGCAGGGGAAGGGGCCGAGGAGTGCAGTCCCTGGAAGTTAAAAATGCATCAAGAAATAAAGAACACGCCGTGGTGAACTTACAACGTACGGCTAAGAAGATCAGCACTCACACGCCGAAACTGGACCCGTTGCGGTTAATCCTTTCGTCGTATGACAGAGATGACTGACTAGCAGCCCATGCCTCGGGACTACTTTTCCAAAACACTTCAACATCTGACAAAGCTAACAAGCAGCCGTGATAATCAGCGTGATCCCCTTGGAATAATTCTGCGGTTTACTGAACTCAACATGTGGCTAATATGTGCAAAAAAAAATGCAATGCGCTGTTTGATGCGTGTAAGTCAGAGTTGGTCGTTTGTTCAGTTAGTAAAGGGTTTTCTTTTTACCCTTGTGATGTATACGTGCATGCAAAGATTGGTTTAATGTTTCATTGTCCAGAGGAATGAAGGGGCAGTTAAATTCAGGGGGGTAGTTGCAAACATTAGGGTTTCTCTGATGTCATTTAAAAATATATATTTTTATTGATTTCAGAGAAAAAGGGAGAGGGGGGAGAGGAAGAAGATAGAAACATCAATACCTGGGGAAAGAGTTGCCATAGCAACCCCCAATGCTCCTATAGTTCAGAAAGGGTATTTATAGGTTAATTTTTTTAATATATTTTATTGATTTTTTACAGAGAGGAAGGGAGAGG